GAGAACACAGCTAACAAAATGCAGTTCCTACATTGCTGCTCTCGATGGTGCTTTGGTCATCGATGGTGGATGGATCGAGCACAACTACGTCCAGCTCGGCTACCAGCTTGCTGGTTCCGTCGCCGGTTTCGCCTGGTCTTTCGTCCTGACCTGTCTGATCCTCTTCCTCATGAACCTCATCCCCGGTCTCAGCCTCCGTGTCCATGTCGATGACGAGGACCTCGGTCTCGATGACACCCAGCTCGGCGAGTTCGCCTACGACTACGTCGAGGTCACCCGCCACGTCTCCGACCTCGTTGGCAGCGGTAGTAGCCACGACCAGACCGTCGGCGGCTCTGCCCACAGCTCTCTCCCTGAGAAGACCGTTTAGAGTCTTCTCGGAAGAAGCTCGCTAATATCAATATGGAGGTAGCTGTGGAATGTTCATAGACTGTCGCATTGACAATCAAAAAGGGGGGATAATGTCTATAATACTCTTGTTCATATCTTGCTTTGATACCACTATGGCACTCGCTTGCTAGATTTACTTTTAGTTCCTGTGGACCAATTCACACATAACATACTATCAATTGTACCCATGTGACTTGATGTTTCGAGGCACTTGTCGCACATTCTGTAAGATTTTGAACTGTTCCAGGGTAATGTCTTGACTAGGTAGTCATGTTGACGTGGTCTGAAGACTTAGTCACATTGATACTGAATCCTTCACGACATCAATGCATCGGTGACTGGTGTTGGAGATGAGCACAAGAGACACAGTCAGATTTCTGCCTCCTAGTCCGCCTATTTGAAGCTGACTTGGGCAGACGATGACACCAAGCCTCCTGCCCGATGTAACCACCAAGATCCGTGTTCCATTGAGTCCCGTCTAGCCGTCCATCATGTCTTTCTCCGTGTCTCGGTATATATCCAGAATCACCATATACCCTAGACTACTATTCCGCCATCGACGCAAATGGCTTGGCCGGTGACATACGACGCTCCATCGCCCAGTAGAAAGGCAATCAAATCCGCGACCTCCTCTGGCTTCCCGAACCTCCCCAACAAACACGGCGGTGGGCCAAACTCGGCCTGAGGCGCCGCCAGAGCCTGCGTCAAAATCGGTGTCTCGATGGTCCCACTGCTAGCAATCAGTTCAATACCGGTGCGCTCATCTAGCAGATGCACTCACGGACAGACAGCATTGATCCTCAACCCTCTCCCTCCGAACTCCTTTGCAGCGGTCTTCGTCAGTCCAACAACCGCATGTTTGCTTGCCACATACGCCCCGTTCATCGGCAGCCCAATCTTCCCCGCCACAGAAGACACATTCACGATACTTCCTCCATCAACCATGTCCGGTATCTCGGCGCTCATCGAGTTTCGAACCCCGCCAGCATTGATATCCATCACGAAGTTCCAGTCCTCATCTCCAATGTCAGGGATGCGGATGTTGTTACCTTGGGCACCGAGAACGCCCGCCACGTTGGCTGCGCCGTGTAGCGGGCCAAACTTTTGAACGGTTTCCGCGATCCAAGCTTTTACGGCATCGCGGTCTCGGACATCCACGACCTCGGAGTGTATGTTTTCTGGGCCAAAAGCAGTGGAAAGCTTGAGTGTTGAGCTCGCGAGGAGGGCAGAGTTGTTGTCTGAGAGCGACACCTTGGCACCCAGGGACACAAGGCGGCGTGCTGTTGCGAGACCTATTCCAGAGGCTGCGCCTGTAATTGCGATTGTTTTCCCTGATAAAGAAGACATTTTGAATTCTATTCGTGTATTTAGGTCTCACTTAGATCTTCGATAGACAGCAGGGGTAAGTGGCAGGTTAATATGGCTCAGGACTTCGGAGCCGAGTTGCCTGCCAGAGAAACACAAGTGAGCTTCCCCCGCAGTGAGGCATAAGAGGTGACGACCGTCCGAAGTCGACAAAGTTTAAACAGACTATGCGCTGTGTCATATATATACTAGTGGGAGGGCGCTCAGCTGGGACATTGACCAAGGGCAAAAACGGGAGGGGGCCGGGCCGGGTCCGGCAAAGGTGGGTCATCCGGCGACGGCTTCCGGACACCAGATCCGGGCAACTCAATTAGTTGTATTCACGCCACTATGCCGCACAAAGTGCGTTGAAGTCTTTCGAGCCCGTTGAAATAATCGAGCCGAGGGACCTGGGTGCCCACATATCAAAAAGGTAGCCCTTGCTTAAGCGGCAGAAGCAAAAAGATGCGCCGAGGGGGAATCGAACCCCCGGCTCCCCGACGCTGCTGGATGGCAACGGAGAATTTTACCACTAAACCATCGGCGCAGTCGTAATGATCGTATTTTGTTGCTGGAGTCAGGCAGGGTTGCGGTATTTGATGTCGAGTTGTGCGCTGGGGTGGAGATGAGGGCATCGTGAAGGATGGGGAAGGCATCCACAGAGGGTCCTTGATGGGGCCCCGTAGGGCTGAGTGAACCCGACTTCATATCGAGAGCCAGGAGGAAAATGATCGAATATCAACGGGAGAACATTTTTCATACGGTGTCTCGTTAAGGAAAGTTACGGTGGAGACTAGGCAGATGGAAAACCATCCTACAGAATGCCTCGGGCCATATCTTCAGCCTCTACTACCTAGTACTATAACTGACAAGCTAGAGGTCTTCAGACTAGTCTCTCATTCCATTCAAAGTGAGACTGCTTATTTACTCTGTGGCTGCCAGGCTATATCCTGTGTGCTTCATTACTCCTGTCCCGGACGACAAATAGCGATGACGGCGACGGCGGCGGCGACGACGACGATGACGACGACGATAGAAGCAACCACGAAGAGTAAAGCAACAGTCAATATAGCAGCCCAGACACAGGAAAATAGGCGGTCTCGTCGAAATCCCGGCTTCCCAATCATAATCAAAAATCAACTTGTCGTTCATCCTTTCTAGGTGTTCCCAGTGATACTGGCGAGCGGATAAGCGGCCTGAATCCCTGTGTAACATCTGTTCGCGATTGGCCCGCCACCGATCCTTCAGCAACCTCACCTTCCTGTTCAGGTCAGCTCAACCGCACAGTCAGCCCCCTCGATCCCAATGCGGTACAGCTCCAAGGGGAATGCTGAGAATCACCTATAAAATGCTCTATGATGCTTTTAGACAGATCTCTAAACCAAGTACTCTTCACATACAACGTGTCATCACACTCAACAACCCAGCATCTCCTCAAGATGACCAGACGTCTAGTTCAGCAGCCGCCAATGTACTCAACATCCCTCGGCGGCACCTTTCGCCCCAAATACCCATCCGTCCCCTCCCAAATTGAAGACATTCAACCCCAGAAGAAAGTGACCATCACCGTCATCAAAGCCGGTCTCCTGATCCCAGGCGACGGCGAGCCCGTCAAAGACGCTGCCCTGGTCGTCACGGACAAGCTCATTGCCTGGATCGGCCCGCAATCCGACATCCCGTCAAAGTACACCGACGCCCCCCACAGATCTTACACCGTGCCCTACCTCATGCCGGGACTATGGGACTGCCACGCGCACTTCACGATGGGGAGCCCCAACGACGCAGGCAACGGCGACGCGTACCTGGGCATCCTCACCGAGCACCCTTCCGCCATGGGCGCGCGCCTCACCCGCGGCTGCTGGCTGGCCATCCAGCGCGGCTACACCTCCATGCGCGACGTCGCCGGCCTAGGCTGCGAGATCAGCAAAGTCATTGACGAAGGCACCATTGTGGGGCCGAACGTGTACAGCTCCGGGTCGTGCCTGAGCCAGACGGCAGGACACGGCGACATCTTCTCGCTACCTGCTGGGGATGTACTGCTCAACCTCGGCGTGTCACAGATCTCCCCGGGTCATTTTGGAACGTTCTCGAACATGCTCGTGGATGGCGTTGATGAGTGTCGGAAGGCGGTCCGGCTGCAGATCCGGCGCGGGGCCAAGTGCATCAAGATTCTTGCGTCGGGCGGCGTCATGTCTCGCGACGATAACCCATTGTATGCGCAGTTTAGTCCCGAGGAGCTGCAGACCATCGTTGAGGAGGCGACGAGGCAGGGGAGAGCTGTTGCGGCGCACGTCCATGGCAAGCCTGGCATTCTGGCGGCGGTCAAGGCCGGCGTGACCACGGTGGAACACGTCTCGTTTGCGGACCAGGAGTGCATCGATCTCATCAAGGAGAAAGGGACCATCTACATTGCCACGCGTCTCATCATGGACATGATCATTGACAGCGGCGGCGAGGGCATCCCGAAGTACGCCTACGAGAAGGCCAAGATTTGCGCGGAAAACCACCTGGTGGCGTACAAGATGGCCATCGAGCAGGGCCTCCCCATTGCTTTGGGTACGGATACAGGGCCCGGGTTCAACATGGCCATGGAGCTGGAATCGGCTGTCAAAGCCGGGATGAGCAACCTGGAGGCCATCAAGGCGGCCACAGCGAACGGGCCTTTGAGCGTCGGGAGCCAGGCACCCAAGACGGGGCAGTTGAAGGTTGGGTATGAGGCGGATGTGATTGGCGTGTTGGAGAACCCAGTGGAAGATGTCAAGGTGCTCCAGAAGATTGACAACATCGGCTGGGTGTGGAAGGGCGGGAAGATCTTCAAAGGACCAGGAGTTGGCCCATGGGGAGAGTCTGAATGGTGGGGCGACGAAGCTTCATTCAGCAGTTGATTGATGTTGGACGTCCATGCTTTCTGCTGGTGTCTGTGACGATAAGAAATCCCTCCACTTCAAATCAAAAGTTGCAACAAAGACTGAAATATCCCGATTAAAAGTCTCGGGTTTGAGACGTGTCACTCTCCCAGATAGCGATGAAAGCCTTCGAAACCGCACTTACCCGTCGTGCGGGATCTTGTCTCAACCCAGACAAACGGGCCTTCAGCCTCCCTCCACGCAACTCCAGAAGCTTGTAGATATCATATTCCTCCTCAGAGTAACCGTTCATTATGTATACAAATGCAGTCTTTTCCCCCGCAGGTCACTCTCATCCATCACCATCCACAACTCAACCTTCCTGACTCAATCATTCCCACTCTCACCAAAGCCGCCAACATGTCCGAACAACGCCTCGTCTTCCACCCAAGACACTCCCTGGCCTTCCCCACAGATTTCATCTACAACGCAGTCAAGATCGACGATGCAGGTGACGCCCTCGAAGCCGTCTGCCGCATCCTCAGCGGCGAGGCCAAGGTTCACGCAAGCCGTGACACGAGCTCGCAAACCCTCGACCAGGCAACGTACCTCGTCGGCTGGCACGACGCGATCCACTCTCTCCGAAACTTCATCCTCGCCCGAAGAGACTTCCACATGAATAAGAACACGCACATCCACGGCGTACCCATGTGCATGTCGCTTCCGCCCACGGCCACTATTCCGGAGGCCGCGGTTCTAGTCGCCAGCCGGGGCACCGCGTCGGTCTTCAACATCCCCGAAGTCCCGCTCTTTGCCCCCAACGGAGCCGAGAAGCAGGCTGACGACGGCTTCATCGTCGTCAGCTCCTCGTCCGCCACCCCCTTCAACACGCCCACGACAAGCTCTTTCCTCCAGAACTCCTCGTCTGGGCCCACTGCTCAAGACTCCCAACTCCAGACCTCCAACATCCTCGCCGGCATGGACACCAAGACCATCCTCATGAACTACGAGCGCGAGGCCCGCGACTCGGAGCAAAGAATCGCCACGGAGATGGCTAAGATGAGCCTGATGCGCCAGGCCATCTTCAAAGACCGCTTCTTCGGTGACGTGCCATCATTCCTAGACAACGGCGGCTCTGTCAACAAGAAGCAGCAGGCCCGCGCCGTCGACGCCGTCGACCAGATCTTCCGCAGGTGGAGAGGTGGACAGATGCCGCCAACAACCCGACCTTCTCACACGGAGCCAGCCGTCAGGAACCTTGGTCTCTTTGGCGGAGCATTGCGCAATCTGCAGAACAGACCGATAGTACCTCAGTCGCCCGGCAACGCGGGAACCATCGGGGGTCCCCCCTTTTTCAGTCCGTCTCAGCTCAACAATACCAGCCAAGCTCCTCCTCGGAGCCAGCCATCCCTCTTCAACTATGCCTCGATGCAGTCCACTGCACCGAGAAGCCAGCCCAACCCGACGCCACCCGCTCCGCTCCAAGAATGGCAGCTCGACCAGCTTCTGCAGGATCGGAACGACACACGCGACCTGAAGGAGCTGTGGCAGTCGTACCAGCCAGGCCCCTCCTTCATCGAGCGTAACGGGGTGCTTCTCCCTCCCCCTGACGCAACGCCCTCTGCTGGATCTTCCAAGTCTGTCGGATCCTCAGGCCCGCCCCAGACCTTTGGGAGGCGCCTGGGGTCCTGCGCTATATCTCATGGTGGCCAGCGTCAGTCCCGCAGTGAGCCCTTAGCGCGCAGCAGCATATTCCACATCACCCATTCCACACCCTCTACTATTCCAACCTCAACCCAGGGTACGCTTTCTCATACACCTCGCCAGCAGCCAGCTTCCTCCAGTTCTTCCATGGTCCCGTCGCAAGATGTCTCCGAACGCGAGATGGAAGCAATGTACCGCGAGGGCGACCGCCTCCTTGACCTCGACGCCGGCAGCCGCACAACTGCCGACAGATCCACCCGCCGTAGCCAGGTCGAACTCGCCCACCAAGTTGCCCGAGACCTCCGCGCCCGCGTGCGTGCTCGCAGGGCAAGGGAGCAGGCGCAGACGTACACCCCGGAAAGCAGCGATTCCCTCATGACCGCGCCGTCACCGACGTCTAGCTCCACGGAGCCCGCAGAGCTGGACGCATTCGGCACGGAGCTTGCCCCAAGGGCTGCTGCTCCTACGCCTCCCAGCCGGCCTTCTCTCTTCGAAAAAGCTCTCAGCCCGGAGGAGTACAACCCAGCACCAGTCCGGGGGGGTCCTGCTTCCGGCCGCGGGGGCCTCTTTGGGGAAGCTCTCTACAACCCAGCACCAGCCCGGGGCAACGCCACAGACAACACCTCCATTCCAAAGGCCGCCGCCCCTGCTCCCGGCCGAAGCGGCGTCTTTGGGGATTCGGCTCGCATGCCTTATGCCGGAGGTGGTCTCTTCGGTACCAGTCCGGCGCCGTCTCAGCAAGCTCCAGGTCCGTCCGGCATGTTCGGCTCACAGCTTTCATACCACAGCACCAGGGAAGAGTCATCTCGCAGGTCTACAGACGAGGAAGAGGACCCGTAATCGCCAAAACGCAAGTTCTTTGCTAAAGCGGTGCCAGTTGGCTATCCGGGGAGTGGTTATCGTCGTCCATCGTCGTATGCCATCGTCGTCGGCATCCTCGTAATCCATCGTCGTTATCCTCATCTTCACCCCTATCTCTACTACTGTCGTCCTTGTGGTAAGTTATTGGGTACGCTGGGTTAGAGGGTTCACGATCCGGCTAGCAAAAATCTCTCTTAAATGCAAACAATCTTGTTATTGGGGTATCAAATCGTGTGTATTGTATTCGGACTGAATTCGTTCGCCTTTTTGTGCAATGTCTAGACTTGGGGAAGGTTAGCTTTCATTGATCATCCATAGAAAAAAAAGCCACGAAACTCACAAAGCATGTCCACATCCGCCCCCCGTGTTCCTTGCCCTCCCATCTTGAAGCGACTCCTCTCTTTCCCTCCTCACGCAATGTTATCCATCTCCACCTCATTCGCAGGCTTGCCCTCCTCCGCCTCCTCGTCTTCCTCAAGATCTACCACCTGTCAGTAACCATCACCATTACCACCCCAAGACCGAGCACTCACCCGCCATCTCTACCTCCCCATCCTCCGCCATCTTCCTCCTAATCGCATGCGCAATCTTCTTCTCGAGCTTCTTGGCCTTCTTCTTGCTGAGCGGCGCGTTCGGCCCGCTGTTGGGCATCAGCCCCGGCCGCGCGCCCCTCTGCACGTCGCTCTTGGCGATCTTGTGCTTGTTCTCCTCGGATCGCTTCTGGCGCACCTTCTTGGCCTTGTTCGCCTGCGCCGCGAGGCGGTTCTTGGAGCGGTGGTTCGGGTTCTTGACGGACGGCATCGTGAGGTGTGTGTGGTTTGTTTTACGGGTGCGGTGTCGGAGGTGAAAGTGGCAGAGAATGCGATTGATAGCGGATTGGATTTGGCGATTGGGATTTTTTTTAGTGGAGCTTGAGGAGCTTGGTGGGATGCGCCGGGCGGTCGGGGTCCAGGCACAGTTCGCCCCGCACCCCTCACCGAGCTACTCCGCAGTACACAGCGCACACCGACCACACCTTGTCTTCACCGAGGTGAGGCATGGACAGGGAATCACCCGGACCATATCAAAAGTCTCTAGATCCTGAATCCAAGATTTGACACTGCGATTAATGCATTTCTCATATGACAAAAGATTCCAAGCTATCGATAGAGTTTGCGTCTTGATAAGCGAATTAGATCTTTAACCAAAAAGGGTTTCATTTCTAGGTCGATGTAACCAGGAGGATTCTTGTTTGTCCAGACGCTTTCCAGCCCATTAAAAAGTATGCGGCAACCGGATCCAAACGCCAGCCTTCAATGCATGATGCCATCCCTGTCTATAGTCCCACTACCGCCGAGCTTTCGCCTTCTGCTCTTATCACCGCGCCACTCGGTCGCTGTTCTTGCCAACCGTGCTCGGGCTGCCCAGGCCTTGGTCGTCGTCGGTATCCTCGCGCAGGCCCTTCTGCGCGTCGTCCTCGTCATCGCTCATTAGGCCCTCCAGCTCAAACTCCTCAGCGTCTCGAACTTGGCGGTTCTCCGCACGCCCATTCGCCACCGGTGCGTCCAGGTTGACTTTGCCATCCACGTTGGAGTTACGGTCGAAGAGGTGGATGAGCATGTTGGCGAAGAGGAACACCAGGAAGGCAAAGGAGTAGAGAATCAAGATGTAGGAAACGTGATCCAGTCCGGAGTTGGCGACGAGTACCATCTGCTCCTCGGTCGCACCCATGAAGAGAAATCCAGAGGCGTACAACAGCTGCGACAGGCATGTCAGAAACATTCAAAGAGGGCCTCTGGGGGGTTAACACTTACGAATACGGGAATATACTGGAAGCTGTTGGTCTTGCGGCCGTCGGCGGACATGCCACTGGCGTCCTTGACGACAAAGGCAATCTCAATGATGCGAGTGATGCCGGCGGCCATCAGCGTCTTGCCAAACATGGCGTGGGTCATGGCGCTGATGGGCAGCTCCTGGGGATGCGCCGACATGGCCCAGCCGGTCATGAAGAGGACGAAGCCGGGGATGAAGTTGCGCTGAGGGTTGCCATCGCGATCGCGGCTAAGCCAAACGCCTGCCAGGCCGGCGCACCACCAGATGATGCCCATGGTCGTGTGCTGCCAGTCGTTCCTAACCCATTCGGTACCCCAGCGGTGCTCGGTGAAGGTGTTGACGCAGCCCCACGCGGCAATGACAACGCTGTCGAAGAACTCCTGGGATCGTCCGGATCGTCGGAGCCACAGCTGCCCCACGACAAGCAGCAGGGTCAGGATGATGCCGTAAGCGATGAAAGCGCTTCCCATGATGAAGTGAGCCAGACATTGTCCCAGGTGGTCGCCCTGGCAGAAACCCAGCGAAGTAATGCCTCCAAACAAGAATTGAACCCAGCCGAGGACGGGGAAGGCCTTTCCGAGAACTCCGTGGATGGGCTTGATGACCCTGCGAATCTTTCCGTTGAAGCCCTTCTCGAGATGCAATTTCAAGTAGATTCCGACACCGACCTGGACGGCGAGCATCAACATCAACCATCCGGCGAAGCCCGAGTGAACGTTGCCGTGGACGAATTCTCTACCGCCGTGCATGTGGCCGAGGAAGTAACCGAGGATGGCGAGAGCGGTGCCGAGGACCTGTGTGGGAACATGCCAGCGATTCTTGGTGAGCTAGGTAGGGAGGAGAGGTCATGTTAGCAATCGCGCATTCTTTTGGCGGAAGTGTCGAATATTGAGGTGAAGTGGCTTACTCCCAGCACCATGCCGACGGGGAAGATGACCCCGAAGGCCAGCATCATGATGAAGATGTGAATCCATAGTGTCGTGTCGATGGGCTCTTGGGAGACTGTTTCGCCCTCCTGGATGTGGCTGACGCCGTGTTCGTGACCGAGAGCCATGGGGAGGGATGTGAGGATGACTGCAGCTGCTGCGGAGAGACGGATCGAGGATGGGATTCTGGAAGGCGGCGACGAGGCCGTAGAAAAGTGGTTGAGCGCCATGACTACTCCCGTACGGCGGCGGCTGGCTGCTACCAGCACGACCAGACCAGACCAAGCTTGTTTGGTAGGCACAGAGGGTGTTGTTGGTGCGGAAGGGCGTTTCGAAAGGCAGAGGCTCCCCTGTGCAAGTGCGAGGCCCTGGAGGCGGTTGGAGCCAGACGTGTCACAGACTTGGGCTTGGGGAGCGGGGCGGCGTCACGGCGTCGCAACGCAATTGGCGAGGTTCGGACGAGTGGTGGGTGTTTAGGGGTGGTGTCGGGCGGTCGTCTCGACTCTGTGGTGAAAGTATCGTACGGGCGAGGAGGTGGTTCGAGTGCCGCACCGCGCAGAGAGCGGGATGGAAGCCAAGCAAGAAGCGAGGCGAGTCGAGTTGAAGACTGTATCCGTCCGGTAGAACAAGCGAATGCCTACCACGGTATCTGTAATGTAATGGATGGATGGATGGTACGTGGGGAAGACTCTCTTCGGTCGCGCTGACCAGGGGGGGCCGGAGTCGCTATCTTTAGCTCGCTCGTGGGTCGCGGGAACCGTGTTGTTGTCGTCGATGTTGTTGGTCGTCGGATTTTGCGATGCGAAGGAGGAAGAAAGAAAATGGCGAGGCGGAGGAGAAAAGAAAAAAGACAAAGGAAGCAGTGAGGCTCGCAGACCGGAAGACGGCAAGGAGAGACAGCAGGACGGGAGTGCCGCTCTCTCTTTCTGAGGTGTCCTGGTGCTCCTTCTGTTCCTAGTGCCGGCTCAAATCAAACCAGAGTGGCTTTGCTGGGCGACACCCGGAGGCTTCGGTAACGCCCATATTGCCTGTGGAACCCTAGCGGGTGCAAGGTCACTTTTCATACACTTTTGTATGGCGCAATACATTGCTGCTGAGTGAGCGCGTGTGTGTGTGTGCTGTGGAAGGGGCGGATGATGGATCGCTGGAGGGGGAGGGGAGGCCTGATGCCGGGGGCGATTACGCAGAGCTGATGTATTCTCCCCGCCAGATCTGGCAGGGGAGATACAAGCGACGCCTTTCTACCATGTAGACTGTTTCTCACTGCAGAATTATAGGTGACTCTCTGCAGTAACTCTCTGCAACTCGGTGTTCTTCTCAGCAAACCACACAAAGTACCATCTACTGCAGGCATCCTGCATCCTGCACCCTTCTACCAGGTGAAAGCTGCTGACCATACACAATAATCCCCAGGTTACCTTACCTGTAGGTAGGTAGCACTTTGCAACGATCCATCCAGGAGGCCCCCCATTCGCCAGCCAAAACACCGAGCAGTGTCCCCCCCCGGTTTGACCCTCTCGGACCGGCTGCACCGGTACGTACCCCTGGCCCACCACGCTGCCTTCCCTTCGTGGCATAACCATAACCGCATTGAGTCCGTTTCCATTGGCCACAGCTGTCCGTTCCCCGTCTTTTAAGCGGGGGCGCTGAGTAATGCCGTCATCGCCCAATCCCAGTTGGCAGTTCCAGACGGTCGTCACCGGCAAAATGTTTGCCCAATTCTCCGTCTCCCATTCTGCTGTCCACAGGTACGTGTCGAGGACGGGAACGCGTACAACAACGAAAAACACACAGAAACACCGCCTCCGTTCTCACCGGCCCCTGCCAAGAACCCTCATTATTATTCCACATTGCCTGCGGATATTGCAAACTCAATCACAACACGCTAACTGCCCCAAAAGAAACCCGCTCGCCGCCCCGTTCTGTCCTCTCCCTTAATTATTCCCCAAGACTCCCAAGACGGCATCCCTATCCCTAGTGGCAAGCCGAGTAACTCGAGAAAAACAGCGCCTTGGCCCAAGGGAGCCAAGCTTGCCTTTTCTTGCCCATCATGACTTTACGAGCAAACGTCAATAAACGGTCCCACAGCACCGTGAACCAGTCAACACCCTGACACGCCATAGCTAGCTTGCATTACCCGCACCGCCTGCCACCAACCTTCTGAGCGCCTCCCGCCTGTCATACCGTCTTGGTCAACGGTCCTCATCCCATCTGCTTGCATTTTTGACGACATGCACAGAA